TGTGATTGGCCTGAAATCCGGCGCTAGGTTTTAATACAGGGGCCAGGGCGTCTGGTAAGATAACGCGTATCGGGTCATACGCGGAGGTGGCCGGGGGGACGGGGGAGAGTTTCAATAATGAAAAAGCCCTGGGGGGTGCGCAGGGCTGGGAAGGCCAATCAGTGGGCGACGGGGCGGGCTCAGCGTCAAGCCGTCTTTGATTGATGCCCTGTCTGGGTGTGAAGCTTGGCGAGACTTTGTCTTACCTGTTGAAAGGGAGATTGGTCGGCGGACGGTGAACCGCATTGACTATTTGCTCGGTCGCATGAGGCATGATTGGTGGAGGACCGAGAGGCAGCATGAACGAGTTTCGAGGCCACTCAGAGCTAGGGGCCTGCCTACTGTGGGTGTGTGCAGAAGCAGGGAAATCAACATGATCAACATATGCCACCCATGCCATCGAGGGACCCTGCAACTTGTCTGGTTACTGACTGACAACACACATGCACACGCCGTGCAACCGAGACCTGACACCCTCTTTTCTGCATCCCCTCTCACTCTCCCATGCTTCTTCCTTGCAATTAACTAAAGCTCCTGTCATATGAATATCACTTTTAATACGGAGTAACTCTTGATAGGGTCAGAGGCTTTTGAAATAAGGCTAATAACACTCGCAAACGAGGTTCGTTTTAAGTACGGAGCAAACTCAAAACTTGAGGCAAGCCAGCGCTAAGCTCGATATGGACATCTCTGCCGATGCCCTGACTAAGTGAAGGCAATCACGTGAATGTCACTTCTTCAACTTTCGCCTCACAAAGTACGGAGTAAATCAGGGGGGTCACCAAATGTGCTGACATAGGTAGTGGCCTTTGGGCGCAATTTATGTGGCCTTTTTAGAGAGGTTTTGGGCGGTGGTCGTTTATCGCCCCTCGAGAATCATTATTGAAGGAAGAATCCCAAACTGCCGATATTAGTCTCGGATAGCGTCCAGCTGGCTCTTTCTTCCTTTGAAGGGAAATTGTTTGTATCGCTAAGAAGCACTTCTTGTTCCTCTATGGGACGTCGATCAATCGTTTCTCTAGACTCTGGGCTTCTTACTTGTATCTCGACTAGGCATCTTTACGAGCGTGCATGGTTGTTGTATCGCTCAACGACTCGCTAGGTTATAACTACTGCGACGCTGATGACCTAGAATAGAATACTACTTTTTTATGGACGCTAATCTCTTGGATAGCCTATCTTAGAACATTGGCCACCTCAATGCGGCCATTGATAATTTTACCGTTATAATAATGAATATTCTTTTTTGCCCCTATAAACCTATAGAATTTGATAGATTGATTCTATCCGAGTTTTCGCGTACGTAAACATGCTAGACATGGTTAAGCTCGTTATAATAAGAAAGTTTTCTTAAAAGTAATAGATTATATCAAATGTTGGAAAAATATGAAGATTTTACTTGATCTATCTTGTCCTATCCCCATAGCAGTTGCTTTAAAAAAGCGTTGGAGCAGGGAGTTCCTGTAGCATTTTCAAAGCCCTTGTGTCATCGTCGATATTGCGGCATAGCTGAAATAGAACAAGATTCATATCGTCCTTATTCAGCGACGTATGCACTGGGTTGCCCGCCACCCAGTGCTTTAATAGGTCTCTTGCAAAGAATATAGCAATTGACATATTATACTCATGAATTGTGTTAATGCTGTAGTGGTCCAACTGGTACATCGCTAGAAAATTCATAGTCGCTTGATTTAGGCCGGATTCTCTTGTAATATAGCTGCCTAGGGAGGTGGAAACGAGCCGGCATTTTCCGTCGACGTATTGGAAATTCACAGAGTTCGTGTCGGAACTGAGATGAGCCCTAATATAGATTGGTGCTGCTCTTTGCGAACCTTGTCCTTATCAGCTATCATTCGGCCCGCCCTTGTTGTGAGTGCAGTTGGTAGGTCTCTATTCAGAGACCCTATATGGACCGCTGTATCTTCAAACCCAGCTTGGGCCCGCACTTTTGCAGGTTTATGATAGGGTAACGACGGCTTCCAATGCCGAAAAACTCTGTGGAGAAAGGCCTCAATTTCCTCACTTGTAACATCTTGGTCTGGGAAGATGTTCTTCTTTACAGCACGAAGAAGAGGTGCTAAAAAAACCTTTGTTTCAGCCGAAACATCGGTAGCAGTGGTAATGGGGGTTGCTGGGGTTTCTGGGGTTGCGGGAGCTGCTGACGGGGCCATTGTTTTGTTAAATTGTGGCTTTCTGGTTTAAAGCTTTCAACCGTAGATACTGCACAGGAGACGTTGATTAGCAAAAGATATTATATCTAGGCCAAAGAAAAAGCGTAGAAAATATAAAGAGTGTGTAAGAGAAACGAAGTCGATAAGAATCTATAGGATATACAAAATACCTTTATGTACTTATTTTCAAACCAAAACCGGGGGCTGGCCTAGGGCTGACGGGGAACCGTCCATGGCCAGCCCTGGTTCAGCTCTTAAGAGCAAGAAAGTAGATACAAATTACTATCAGTTCAGGTTTGTAATTGTTAGGAGTCTGCTAGCTAAAGTGATATGTTTGTAAAGCGCGTCTATAGTCTTCTCACTTGATACTAAGTGCTATGTAGAAAAAGTGAGCTAATACTCGGCGCGCTAATTGGCCCAGTATAATTGGCAGCGCTAACTATGCTCTTATTACATATTAAAGGTTGAGTGTCTCCCGCTATGACTTACATCGCCACCATGACGTCAACATAAAGGTATTTAACCTGTCTTCACCCTCGTGAGGTGTGCTACTTCCTCAACTACATCTACTGCCGACAAGATTCATCTGATCCAATCTGGAAGGAGCTTATACTTCCATCTACAGATACCAAAGGAATATTCCTTTGCCTCTTCTCCCTTATAATCTATCCAGTGTAAGTCCTTTGTACTAACTAAACAATGCCACCAACAATTTCTCATACACTAACGCCTCCAAAAGGCGGGTTGGAATCCGCCATGAGTCCCACCACATACTTGACAAGGGACGGCACTGTTAGGAGCCTCAAGCGCCAGCTCCAGTGCGATGCAATCAACCCTAAACGACTCCGACTTGAACCACATCCCGCTATGAACGAGACTGTTGTGGAATATTGTACTCGGAACCCAGCCGCGTCGGTCGTTGCACCATTTTCGCCTATAAAGCGGAACTTTGAGGACAGAACTAATGTAAGCCTCTGTTATACCTACAGTCATTATAATTATCTTTTGTGAATATATTCTAATCCATCAACGATTAGGACTTACTATCACGAATTGACAAGCTTGAGGCGAGGGAGGAGAAGTACTTAAAAATTAGGGCGAATTTTCATATTGGAAACATGCTTATCACAGTTTGCAACAAATACCTTACTAAGGATACGAGTGATTCGGCAACAAATAAAGGTGCAAGTGACCATTCAACAAACCGTGCTATACAGCGTGGCCGTGACGCGAAGAAGAAGGACCTTGCCAAAGCAGGTATTCCATCCAAGTTTTGGCCTGCGATCCAGGACATGGGACCGGTATATACTTCTATATTTAAGTACATCTCTACTCTGCTAATATATATTATAGTATATCAAAGCGCGAAATGTGTCCGCGCATGAATCATACGAGGAGTTTGCGGTTATTTTGAAAGAGCCCTGTATGCAACAGTATTACGACGAATGGAGTGGTTTATTTCCGATAGCTTATGGGGCCACGGTCGAGGAGGTCGCAGAGAAGAGTGGGCAGTTTCTGTCAACGAATATGTCCGAAGGCCGTTAAAGATTAAAGTACTTCAAGTTTATGTATTATTGTTAGTAGCTAGTATTATTAAGTATTACATACTTCGTTAATCGAATATTTTGGGATACCCTCCTTGTAGAGCCTTTTTAGACAATGAGGCTCAAGAATCCACCACGCCTACGGTGGATGTATGTAGACCCTGGTCCACTAGTTAAGTCCTAAAAAAATCTAAAACAGTAATAATTTGCACAGTCCTGGAACCGAGAAGTAAAGCATACCATACATATTGCCCCTTTTTACTGTTTAAATTCATAACTGAAAGATGTCGGGCAACGTAGCGCTCATCGAGCGCATATCGGCTTTCGTGGCCAAACACATGGCAGGCCACGACCCCTCTCACAACGCCCGCCATGTCTCCCGCGTAGTCAGGCTCGCCCAGACGATCCTCGCAAAAGAAAAGACTCGCAACCCCTCTATTACGTATGACGAAACGGTGGTCACTCTCGCGGCCTGGATGCATGATATTGCCGATAGAAAATATCTCCCTAAACCAACCGACGGGGGTTCACAGGTGGGATCATCCATAGCTCATTATTACTTTCAACAGATGGAAACTAATAAGCACAAGATTAACCCCGACACTATCATATATGATACCCTGGTATCCCACCATGCAGACCCAAGCATGGCACAGAGAGTTCAGACCATAGTGTCGAACGTCTCCTATTCAACCGAGATAAAAGACCCTAGTGTTGTTCAGCGCCTGATCAGTCCTGAAGGCGGATATCCTGAACTCGCCATCGTGCAGGATGCAGACCGTCTAGACGCCATTGGCGCAGTTGGGATAGCAAGATGTTTCACGTTTCTTGGAGCCAAGTCCAAGGGTGCTGGCAAGGATGGCGGCAAGGAACCGGACTTGGACGATGCGATAGAGCATTTTGAAGAGAAGTTGGTGAAGCTGGAAGGGATGATGAAGACGGCTACTGGGCGGGAGATGGCGAGAGAGAGGGCATTTAGAATCAAGGAGTTTCAGCGTTGGTGGGCTGACGAGACGGATGGGGTTTGAGCAGCAGTTGATTACTGGTTAGGTTGATAGAATAGAAAGTAAGAAGAGCATGATGTTACTTAGATATATATATAATTATACATATATCTTGATTGATTTGTGTTTGTTTATTATATAGTCAGCTAGTCCGCTTATGAGTAGTAACCTGTGTATCAGCCCCTAGCCTTAGACCACCCATCTAACAGTTCCTCAGTAAACTCCCTAAGCCCAAGCAATGAAACATGAAAGACTGACTAATAGAATGAACCATCAAAACAAAAATGACCGACAAAGGGCAACCATAGGTAAATGAATAATATGACTTGGGGTAATAAGCAAAGGGTGGTGCAAAGGGTAGTAGGGTATGCAAATCTGAGTTGGTGTACTCAGGAAATTTCATATGCAGGTGTGTGTATTGGAAGATTCACAAAAAAACGGTACCATAACTCCGGATAAAGCTGAAACAGGGAACCACCTAAATGAAACTGTGATGGGGAAATATATGTTTATGTTCTAGTTAGAGGGTAAGAAAAATAAGAAAGAACAGTTACCCAAGATAGAAATCAACATGAAGCTGTGTAGATATGTTAGTAGATAGAATTATGTAATAGGAAATTGCTGCCCTTTAACTCCAGAGTTTCCAGTCTGCAAATCCTGCTATTCAAATGAAAGGAAATAAAAGGAAAAGGATCAAGGTGATGCAGGCAGAGCGGTTCATTGATGGAATGACAAGTGAAAAAAAGAAAGATATTAGCCGTGGTGTTGAATCTGTTGAGGCGGCTAGTCCAAGGTCTTTGCTGTGTAAATGTGGGTGTAATAAGCTTCTCAAGGGAGGTTTGGTCAACTGTAAGCTCGAAAAGTGCTAATGTTGCTTAAACACGGTCCCTCGCGAAGTCAAGGACATCACAATCATCTTCAAAGAACCCATCCTCAACAACGTCGTCTCCACTTTGACCTCGTCCACGTTTACGACGTGTGGTTATAATCACATGTTCGCCTCCCAGGCTGATAAGGTTCTCCATCTCACGAGACTTGCCCATGCCTTCAGGATCGGTTTCATCCTCATTATCATTCTGAGAGGCACTGCGTACATGGACTGTATGTGTGGGAATGGCATTTCCAAAAATCCATTTCTGGGACTTGGGGGATCCGCTAGATTCTGATGAGTAGACCTTCAAGGTCACACGGCGGTCGGTATGGAATGGTTGGTACGGAGCATGTGTCTCGATCTCAGCTTGGGCTAATGGTGGTGACTTTATTTTTGAACTGCCTCCAGGACGATGGTGCGTAGGACCAGACCAGGAGCCAGTGATGGCGTCGGAGCCTCGAATAATGGCTTGTTCATGAGTATAGGCATTTTGGATTTCGGCTGGAAGGCGTGCTTCGAGAATCTTGCCCCCAAAGAATGGTTGAGTTCGCTTTCTGTGCTTTGGCGGAGCAGAGCTCTTGCCGACTTGATATACCTTGAACGATCCCCCATCCATAATACCAACGGAGAGTTCGTCACCATGCTCATCGCCAATCCAAACAGCCTTCGAGCCTATGCTATCTTTCGCAAAATTAGCGGGATGAAGCCGGTTTTCACCCACATATCGGAGGTTGTTCATGGTCTCTGTGGCAGCACCAACTGATTTGCTTAAACCTGCGGCTACAACTTTGCCTCCTGCGGATGGAATAGCGAATCCTTTGGTTACAGCAAATGCTGCGCCAACGCTAGGAGCCCGGCCACGCATAGCTGCTAGGAACGGCTGCGTGGTTTCACCTACCAGCTTCATGGCACTTGAGAAGGCGTTGCGGGGGGCATCTTCGGCTGCTTCATCACGTATGTATGATTCGGCGTTGGTCGCTGATGCGACAGCGGTTGACCGTCGTAGTGGCGGCCATCTGAAAGCAGCAGGCGGAACTTCATAGACGTGAGTTGTTCCCTTCTTGGTGATGATGGCAACATGCTCGCCGTTGGGTGCTGTCCATACGACATCGCGTATGGTTGATGTAGTCAGTCTTGCATATCGAGCAACCTGTCTAACGTGAGTAGCAGGAGGGTTAGACTTCGCGGTAGAAGATGGGTCTTCGGCAAGGAAAGCACGAGATCGGCAATGACGAATCTGCATCAAGTCCCAAATGCATTGTATATCGCCTTTCTTGCTTGCAGTGAGTAGCATGAGTCCGTTTGGTGATAATGAAAGGAAGCTGCATCCATGAGGAGGCTGGAAAGTAGCTATTGGATGCGGGTTTGAAGACTTCCCATCCTGAAAATCTTCTAGCGGCTTTAGGTCAAAAATAGAGACAAGATCTGGCTCGTTCGATGGAGGAGTTTGAGTCTCCTGGGCGTGCGTAGGAGGTAACATATCCGCGGCAAAGCTATGCTGATCTATGGACTGTGGTCGGCGTAACGGAGTAGAATTACCGGTCTGTGAATCCTTGTTCCAATAATTGTTCCAAGTTTGAATGCCTTGATCTCCAATCCACCGCGCTCCTTTAAACACTTCTTGGGTTACGCCTCTCGCGACTTTGTTTAGGAAGCTTTCACCTTCGCCGGAGTCTACCCCACACGTAACAGAAGGTCGGGATGGAGGCGTATGGGCATCAACTCCATAGATCTTTCTAGGTGTGATGTGGGCCGGAACTGCACCTTGGAGTGATACTCGGTTTGGTGATGGGCTGATTACGGCAAGCCAACGTCCACTAACAGAAAGAACGGGCACATCCGTAACTTTGGCTGCGCGGGAAGCCTCTGCCTGTGGGTCGTCTGTATCAGTTGAGGCAGAAGAATTAGAGTATCTCCGAGTTTCCTTTGGTTGAATGTTTGTCCACATTTTTCCAATACACTGGTAAACAATCGGAGAAGGAGGACGAGCCACGCCAAAGACCATAACTTCGCCGCTTTTGCCAGAGGCCACAATAACCAAATTACCGCTAGCAAGAATTCTGAGATTGGCTGTAGGTGGAGGTAGATATGGGGCAACGCCAGAAAAGGTATCGATACATGGGACTGGCTTAGTAGCAAACAAGGTTGAAACAAGATCCCTAGATTTCAGAGAGTAGACTTGTACTCTCGTCTGCACTAGGGGAATATCTGGTCTTGCATTTGTTGCTTGCTTTGGAGACGAGCCAGTAAGCAAATCCAGCTGTTCTGAATCGGGTGGGGAAGCTTGCAAGGTGCCATTCTCTTCCTTTGGAACTATACCATGAATGGTGACCGCAACTAAAGGCCGGATTGACGCGAAAGGATCGACGCCGGAGGTCCATGTTAAGAGTTTGGCATCGATGACCCTTCCATTCAGCCCCTGGATAGAGCCTATTACTTTCGTTCGTGAATTTTCGATTCCTAGAACGTCTAGCTCTCCGTCTCGGCCTACGAGGATCACATTGCTTCCAGTCTTGGCGGACTTGTACGAGGTTCCGGGAAGAGGCTCAACGGCACAGAACGAATGCCCAGGCTGCTGATGGTGCTTACTACCTGGTTGCGGTACCCCAGGTATATCAACGTCAGGCGCAGAATAGAAATGCGGCTGTGGATGGTGAGGTGGTGGCGGGAAACTTATCCTGTTGCTACGATAGCTGCTGATAGAATAACGTTGCTGCCTGTCTCTAGGCAAGCTGTTTGGCGGTGTGGACGCTGGGGTTGCATCTGCAAAACCTGGTGGCCGAAGTCGAGCCTGCGGTGGTGATGTAGATGGAGAAGCTTCGCGATAAACCTCTCCACGAGATGGTAAGGTGAAGGCTGGAGGGGATTCTGCAAAGCCGACTCCATCCGTAGGATCATTTGGCGGGCTTTTCCCGAATGGTATGCCTCGTGCCCACGAATCTGTCCTTGAGGTCAGGTCTTGCTCGCCAGGAGAAGGCGAGTAGGAGTCCAGAGGCCCAAAGGCCGGTGAGTCAACAGTGCTTGGGGGGCCGACTGTGGGAGGCATAGTCGGCATAGAAGGAGCAGGTGATTGGGTCATTGGTGAAGGTTCATATCTGTGAGTATAAATTAGCATCTACTGTTAAATATTCGCAATACGTAATGTGGTATAGCTGTGTCTACTCACGATTCATCAAAAAGCGCTTTCGCTTCACCTTTAGCCGTGCTATCATGGTCGTCTCTAACAGCATCATCCGACTTCTTTGAAACCTTCTTTTTCTTCGCCACGTTCGCGGATGTAAGCGGTGGTTGGGAGAGAGGGCTTTTTGGGGCGGGCGACTGGCTTCTCTGGTGGCGGGTGTTAGACGCTTGCAGCATACAAGGTGACGTGGTAAGCGCCGTTGGCTTTCCAGCAACACCTATGGCCGAAAAACGCCGCCCGTGAGGATCTCTCTGCCTGTATCCCTTACTGCCTAGGAGAAAAGCGTATCGTCGATACTGCTAAACGAAGGTTTCCGAATAACTCTTTGCGCGTTTACCACAACTGCGGAACGTTAGATTTGCAGGAACACGGGACAGGAGCCAGCTACACCGGGAGATAGGGGGGTTTGTCGCAAGCCAAACACGTACAAGACTGACGAATATTAATACCTTGGTCCGCGGTATGCCCGCGGGAAGGGATCTCAGCGTCAAGGAGGCAGCTCTGGAAGCTGGAGGTAGGTATCACAGTGGGGCAAACAAGCTCCTTGCCCGGAGCTGCAGGGCGCTCAGGGTCAGATAGCTCGATAGACCAGGCTTTGCTGCAAGCCGGGGGGATCGTAGGACGTAGGAGCGTAGGACGCAGGCGTTTCTCAGTATGCAGTAGGCTCTCTGGTTGGTCGTGGGTGCTGGGCAGGAAGACAGCTGCAGGAGGGGAAGAAGGTGGAAAGATGAAGTTGACGATGTTTCCTCTAAATAAGAAGCGCCCGGGGCAGACAGAGTCACGACCCTCCCCGATGCGGTCATGGGCGGGACCCTCTTTTTCTGCCGCTTTTCTTTTTGCAGGCGTGGCGCTAGGCCTGAAGAGGCAAGAAAGGGATTGCAAACAGGGCAAACTTCCAGGAACAGCGTCATCACTTGATAGATGACTCAGCAAACACGTGATGGGATATCTCACGTGTTTCGTCGATGGTGAAAGGCAGGAGAAAGAGAGATAGAGGGAGAAAGGAAGGCTGAAGAAGAAGAAGAAAAAGAGAAAAAGGAAGAGAGAAGGGAAGAGAGAAGAAAGAGAAGGTCTCTGGTGGAGGAGCACGCGAAGTAGAAGAGCGAGTGGTGGTGTTACGGGTGACAGCTGCCATAGCACGCTGGGCGGTCATCTCCCCTGGTCATTATACACAACTAGCTCAACGGGCAAATATATAGATGTACTCCATACATGATGATGTATTAACATAGATTAGTAGTAGAAAACGGTCTAACCCTCCCAGTCCGCTGTTCGATATTCCCATAAATTACTATGAAAACCAAGAAAAGAAAAGAACCCTAAGCAACGCCCCTATCATCGAATGCGTACGCACATATCTATGCACGCTTTTCTGCTTCAAATACGTCGCAAAAAAGGAGGGTAGCAACGGCTAAAGGAAACCATCCAAGGAAGGAAGACGGCATGCTTCTCATGAGCATAGCGCGACCATAATGGTGTAACCGCCCCGTGGTGTAGCTAACTCTTGACGGTACGTTCAGCTCTTCTTCTTGAGCGCTGCAGCTTTGGCCTTTGCTGCCTTCTTCCGGTTACTCCGAATCATGACAAGTCCAAGGAATGTGCCAACCACCGTAGATCCAAGGATTGTGAGTATTACTGGGATGCGAATAGCCCAAACTCGCGGTGGGAAGAGGTCATGGAGGGGGTGGCCCTGGTCAACGAATGGCTAAACGAACAAAAAAGAGTCAATTAACTGCCCAGGCAACGGGAGACAGATTGGAACGGTAGACTGACCATCAACAGAGTCCACGCCGTATAGTATAGAAACACTGCGGTTGCCACGAGCAGCATGGCAAAGCCGAACAGTTGGCCTAGCTGTGGCACTGGTTAGCTATGCTTGCCTCCTTTTTTTTGGTTCAAATGGACAACTTACCATATCTGAGGAGAGCGACGGTCGACACGTAAAGAAGTGAGATTGTACTCAGGCAGGCTACGGGCTCGGCCGTACTTCTTTACTTCTCTTCACTTCTCACTTCTTGGTCCTATAATTAGAGAGCGGCTCCAGCGAACAGATAACACCTAACTAATGAAGGTCCAACTTTGCAATGCATCAAAATCGCAAAGTAGGCATCACGTGACCGATTCTAAAGGCTCAAAACTTTCGCGATCTTCGACCTGGATTGAACCTTGCATCCTCAACCAGCGCGCTTTCCTTGCTCATTACAGCGCTTGTCACTCTTTATCTACGATGGCAGACATGATGGCGATGCAGTCAGCGGTCCGCCTGCCAACTCCACCGCCAGGAGTTTCGTATTCGCCGCGCGCATCCGTCCCTCGGAAGCGGTCGCCAACGTCGCGTTCACCATCGCCAGACCGTCGCCGCCGTGCACCAGCCCAGGATGATGCTGGGAATGGCCAGCGTGAGCCGGATGCGAGGGAGCAGGAGCTGGCAGAACGGTTTCGTCGACCTCAAAGGGCCGCTGCCTCCAAGCCGCTGACAGAGGAGGAGAAGCAGGCAGCTGCAAAAGCCGAATATGAAAAGCTTTTGAACATGCGTTCCGGAGGCACATATATACCTCCTGCAAGATTGCGGGCTCTCCAGGCTCAGATAACTGATAAGACCAGTAAGGAATACCAACGGATGGCATGGGAGGCGCTGAAGAAGTCGATAAACGGATTGATCAATAAAGTCAATGTTTCGAACATCAAGCATATTGTGCCCGAGCTCTTTGGTGAAAATCTGGTTCGCGGCCGAGGCCTGTTTTGCCGCAGTATTATGAAAGCCCAGGCTGCCAGTTTACCATTTACCCCGATTTATGCTGCTATGGCTGCCATCGTGAACACGAAACTTCCTCAAGTTGGAGAGCTTCTTTTACACAGATTGGTTGTGCAGTTCCGAAAAGCTTTCAAACGAAACGACAAGGCTGTTTGCATATCTTCGACCACGTTCATTGCGCATTTATGCAACCAGCAAGTAGTGCATGAGATGGTTGCTGCTCAGATACTGCTACTTCTACTTCATAAGCCCACCGATGATAGCGTCGAGATTGCGGTTGGGCTTACAAGAGAAGTTGGGCAACACTTGGAGGAATGAGCGGTCCGATTGCCTTGGCTGTGTTTGACCAAATTTAAGGCACCTCCTGCACGAAGCCGGACATCGACAAACGTGGGCCAATACATGGATTGAAGTTTTTGTTTCAGGGCAAAAAAGGATAAATTTCAAGGGCCAACCCCTTGTCATTAAGGAAGGAACTTGACTTTGTTTAAAGAAAAAAAACCAAATCCACCCCTTCAAGTTGCCTTGGATTCTCAAAACAAAAGGTCCTGGAAGGGGTTGGAGGTCTTCAACGAC